ATCTGCACATCTTACTTCAGATGAATACATAGATGAACAATTGTGCCAGTACTTAAAAAGATGTACAATATTTGAATGAAAACAGATCGGATTGATTAAACCTGTTGTGGGCATTGAGTTATGATGAAAGAAAATGCTTGAATTAAGTGAAAGCTTTTTAATTCTCTAGCAGGCTTCCTTCTAATTATAAGAAAAAAAAATTACCTGCCTGTATACATAATTTCAGTGTCTATTCAAACTTTATAAATAGCGTTCTTAAAGGTTGCCCTTCATGACACAACTCCAGATAATTCTAATGACTGTTACAGAATAAAGCTAAAGCAGTTTGTGCTTAAAGAAAAGGAAGATCCTGAGACAGTCACACACCTATCCACATGGGAGGATTAGTTAAATCGGTATTAGTGGGGGAAAAAAAAATCCAAAATATATGTTTTATTGAAAAATGCTACATACTTTCAAAGCCCCTCTTATGATTTTTTTCTTAGACTGAATTCCTGCTGATTTTGAGCTCAGGTCCACATCTGTCAGAATAACTCCAACTTCACCCTTGGCAGGTACAAAAGGGCAAAGCTGAGCCATTCACGTTTTTCTGTGGCTGTACAATTAAAAGCATTTCTTCCTGTGAATGTATGTATTTATACAGAGTAATTTTACTTACATTAATTTGTGGCAGTTTGTTTCAAATGCAAAAGCTTCCTAGACTGTAGAAAAACTAAGCTGCTTTAAAAATTGATTTTTCCCCTCCTACTATTTCATCCTGTTGCATTGCTCAAAATGGTTAGTTTGTAATTCTCCTGGTTACAGGACACTTATTAATTCAGCAAGGAATTACAGACCTCAGACTCAAACTGACACATAGTTGTTTGGTGACCAAGTATCTCAAGAAAAATAATACTTTATCTGAAGGTTTTGCATGTTATTATGCACGCATGTAAACAGGAAGAATCTCTGGTTCAAATTAATTTGCATGGAAAACAAGGCATCACTGGGGTATATTCCCTCCCTTCTTTCCTTTTTCTCCCCCAAACAAACCTTTGGAATTGCAAACAAAATTAATTATAAACCAAGGGGCTGATTCTCTGTTGTAAATCTCAGAGGCACATTGCAAAATATTCAAAGAGGAGCGAAGATGGATATGATTAAGCCTAATCTGCTACTGCAGGGCTATTACTTTTCCCCTCACAGCTTCCAGCATGTGTTCAGTGACATATAGTGAGATGTCCCTCATTCTTCCATGCCAGAGGCTGCATGGAAGCAAGCTGTGGGCAGATTAGTTGAGTCCTGGATAGTTTCTACAACACGAGGATGCTTGAGCAAAGTGCAGACATCAGGGTCTGTGTGGGGAGACTCTCCCCTCCAGGTTAAGAGCTAGAAGATTGTAGCTCTTTCATAAGGAACAGTAATTTAAACTGACATCAGAAAGACATGATTTCAAATTGTCTTTTCAAATCAAGTTGCTACTTTCTTAATCTGAATCAGTATATTCTGTCTAACTTTCTGTTTTTTTAACTATTTTCATTAATCATATCTGTTTTGATAGTGCCCAAATAAAACTGTGGCTCCGTTTTGCTACAGGCTAAAGAAACAAGTTAGGCTGGTCTGTGTAAGTAGTAAAGTATGGTATCAATGCTGCAGTAGCAATGTATCTGCTTTCAACCCTCACTTGTGGGTGCCCTTTAAAAACTTGGTGACCTAAAGTGCTGATCCAGGCAGACCACACAAGCCAGCAGTGAAAACTGTTTGCACCTTCCTGCAAAGTCAAAGCTTTTGTTAAGGTGCCTTTGAGGTTTCATTCATCATTTGCAGCCTCTGAAGGTTGCCTACCTCTTTGACTTGACTCACATTCATTCTTTAAATTGCATGAAAACCAAGCACCTCTCTGCTCTTAGCTGCTCTGGTGTAGCCACACTGGTGGGCTGTGACTTGGGCCTGTCAAACAGACTGGTGTGGCAGAAGATGATCCCTGACTGTCTGTGGGACTGGGTGTGGGAGGATCTTGCAGTGTTGACACATACATTAGAAAGTCAGTAAATGTCTCGGATTTTAGAGACCCGTAGTTTGGTATGAGAGGACTCTAATTTTGCAGGTGTGTGTAGAGCTACAGCTGCACAGATAGCAGAACTCGGATGTACAGAGCAAAATATTTAGAGTAAAAAAAGTATATATACACACATAAACAACCATTAACAACCCCACAAACTTCTGACTAATTTGGATAATTACAAATGACAGTAACCATCAATTGTGACTCAAATGCCACGGATCTGTGAAAAGCCACGGACTTTTGAGTGTCAGCTATCTAAAAGTATATTTAGGAACAAGGTGGACATAAATTTAATCCGTTGCTTTTTTTAACTAGAAAAGAGCCTGCATGGTACACTTTCTATAGATTTTTCAATAGACATGAGTAGAGCTTGTAATGAGTGCTATATTTAAGCAGTCACATGAACACATTCATTCATTTATTAAAAGCTATTCCGTGGATGTTTATTACTACATCAATTTCTGTACATTCTCAAAACCTTTCAGTTCAGTATTATGCTGGTTAGAAGTAGGACATCTGACACTAGTTGCATGAAGGTAACTCCTAGAATTGTATTGCCATCCAGAACACCCAGTTGCTAGAAATCTGAAATTAATTTTCCAGGAAAACTGTGTCATATTAACAATATGTCAGTCAGTTAACTTATTTCCCAGCTAACCCAAGATATATACTAATCTATTTAAAATGTTTAGAGTGAAAATAACAACAGATAAACATATAAAATAATCCTATTATACATTATGTAAATTACTCTAAGGCTTCAATGTTTATGAAATTAATAATGCAGAGAACTTGGTGAGAAATATGGACCTCAATCTAGAACAGCAAATTTCTCTAACAATTAGACAGTATTTGTATACTTAATATGTATTAGCAGCATACTGCTAGTTCCTAATTCTGTTGTGGTTAGAAAAACTGATAGTAAAAAAAAAAAATTAAATGACTGCAACAATGGATTTCTTTGACCTAGCCTAAGATCTTCCGGTGTATTTTGAGGACAGTGATTTTACATGTTAACTTGTATATTATTTGGGATATTGAAATATATCACTGAGTTGTTGCTGACACGGTCTGGCATCTTGCCATGCTAATTTAAAACTTAAAAAAATGAACCTGCTTATCATACAGATTTATTCGGTATCATTTTACAGACTCTCATACAGTGCCCTATACAGATATAAGTAAAGTCTAATCGTGAAGTTTCACTTACAGCTTGTTTTGTTACACCAGTGAAGCAGATTTTAAATTTTTGTGAATCGTAAATTCATTCTACTTATTTTAACAATATGACCTTCTGATACTATTGAAGAGTATCTTTGAAAAAAACATCTCAGAGTGCAAAACTTGAGAAAGATGTTGTACAGATTGGAGCAACTTGCTGAGTGTTTCAGTAAGTGACATTTTTGGCTATTATTTGTATTACTTGGCACATGCAACAGCTATATTGATTAGACCATCAGAACTTAACTGGAATCCAGTATTTCACTTTGAACTATTGCTAGATATATCACCAACAGAAATTTAAAATCTATCCAATTGCTAACATAGCACTGTCACCACAGATGGCCTCGTACTGGATGTCTCTGAAAAGAAAACACAAGACAGCTACTTTCCATGGGCTGAGTAAATCTAACTTCGCTTACTTGCCCACAGAAGCTTTGCATGGTTTAGGTCCATGCTAGGCAAGATCAGATGCGCCTAGGGTTTCAAAACAAGCTACCTGGTATGCCAAGAGCCAGCTTGTCAGACAAATAAGAAGGTGCCCCTTCATAAATCCCCCAGTTAGTCTGAGAATTTTGCTGCTTCTGGGTTTTATTCCTTCTTTCTAATTTGCCTTACAAAAAAATATTTCTTGCTACTTTTCACTGAAGCCACTGAAGCTACTCTCTGCAGTATTAATCCATTTTAACATGAAAAATAATTTTAACGTGAAAATTTTGCATTTTCTTCTCTTTCATGATCTATGTATTTTAGAGAGATGTAAAAAGTAGCATAAAACTAGGGCAATTATAGACAGGGATCCAAATTAACACAAAGACAGATATAATATCACTTTATTCCACAAAATGCCATCCATCAGCACTACTGTCAATCAGTTGCACGCAGTTGGCTTTTTCGAGTGATGAGCAGAAGTTACTCGCTGTCCCTTTATTTTCACTTGTTGCTTGTGCACAACTGAAGGGAGAAAATTACTTCCTATGCATCTTGGAAATAAGAAAAGTGAGGAAGACTGCCCAGAACTGGAGAAGCTAATGAAGATGGTGTGTCAGGTGCCAATTTGCTAAAAGTAAGGGCAGGAGTGAAGAATGAATAAAGAATCTGTAAGTGCCAGTGGCATTCTGGGGCCATATCCTGGCGGAGTTGTTTTCATCTTTCTGCTCCTCTACTTCTGAATCTTATCTTGTGACTGCCTTCCATATATCCACTCCCTTTCTCCTATTGAATCTTCAGTGTGTTCAGCTTTCCCTCATTTTCCCTCCAATTAGTTCATGTTGATCTAACCACCAGAGGATGGAGTAAACAATGTATATATGTATATTTATTGACTATGCTGCAGTTGTAGTGGACAATCTAAGTAGGACAATGCAGAGCAGGGGAAGTAGTTATACTTTGGCATTCTGGCTGAATCCTTCCTGAATTTCTAGCTGCTTTTCAGTCAAGCACTTAAAGGCACTGTCATTCAACAGTTTGGATTCAGAAGTCAAATACAACTGCAATACTAATTCAGCTTTTATTATCTATAAATCCACTACTGACTTTTCATTTTAAGATAATTCTACACACACTTTTAGATGCCTGCAACAGCAGCCATGAGAATTCAGGCATATGGCCACTACTATATGACAATGTGTCTTTCTCTAATAATTTTTAGTCTTTTCCATGTGTCCACTTGTGAATAAGATAGTGCAGTAAAACAAGCATGTCATCCTTTGATTCATCCACATACAATTCACTTCCAGTGAAATTTTAAGACACTGATACTACCTCTGCCAGATCTCTGCCACATCCCATTTCAATCTCAGAGGTTTGTAAAACTTGCAATTTTCCTCTCGTGATGAAGACAAATACTGAATTCTGAGGAGAAATGCCAAATCATCAGATACTGTATTACAATCCTAATCTGATCTAATTAATATTAGAAAGTGTTGTTTCATCATATGGGAAATCGGGACAGATATTTGTTACCTTTGCCTCAATTACTTAATGCTATGTTTAGAACATGAAGATGTGTCAATATATGTGCAATAATCTGGACAGCATGTAGTCTGTCTGGTAAAACCAAATGGCTTGATATTCCATGCAGAGAACAGGTTATGTATATTTTTCTAGGCTCTTGGAAAGAGGAAAATATTATGGGCCCTGCTGAACTACTTTTAGATACCAGTAGTTTATAAGGTCTACATATGCAGGAAGGAATCCTGCTGTGAGTATATAGAATTTGATTAAAAAATGCATGACAGAAAAGATCCAGATGTGCAAACATGCCAAGCAGCAGGCTTTTCAATGGAACAAACCAGCCCAGTAAGCCCCATAGAAAGGACAGTAGAAAAAAATGTGTGTGTGTATACAAGCGTGTGCGCACATGCACCAGTGATTTATATATCCAGTTTAAGTATTATCTGTGAAACTGCTTAAGACTTCAATATCTACCCAATTCTATTCCTTGGCTGGCATGCAGTGTCCTTTTGTGTGACAGGCTCTCAGTTGACATGGCAATTAGATTTCTTGATTAGTATTTCTTATACAGAAATAAAAGATCCTCTCCTTCCTGCTATTTCCCTGCTCTCTGCCTGAGCATAAAAAAATTAGTCCACATACCATAGAATAGATTTAACCTTTCATGTGTTAAAGACTAAAATTCTCCACCCCACTCCCCCATAAAATTACTAAATTGGATGTTCGTTAAGATTTGAAGGTAAACGAGTTGCTTAAGAGATTAGTAATCAACCCATTCATTTTGATCTTCAGTACAGTGAAAACTAAAACCAAACAAGTACAGAAATATCCATAGGTTTCCTTAATCTGTTTATGAAGGATCTTCAGACACATTAGGAGCTCATAGTAGCAATTCAAAAGCTAAATATAAAAGAAGATTTAAGAAGTAGTTATAAAGTCAGTAAGAGGTTTTCTGGGAAACCAGAAAGATAATCCTTATTTTTAGCATATTTTCCTGTGAGATAAAGATAGCAAATGTAGAAGGTATGCATCCAGACCGAAAATGAGATATGCAAAAGATCCCACGATATGCACCGGGAGTGTTACAGAATCAGCATTTAGAGAGCAATGTTCTGACAACACCATCTGCTCCTTTGTGCTGTATCTTCCTATTGCAGGCTTTCAGTGTCTTCATGCATGATTTTCTGTGGAAGTCAGTAGGAGTGTACGATTTATTTTGACATTAATATTTACCAGGCTGGTGTATGCTTAAAGTATCCAAGATGCTGAAGGGGCTGAGACTTTCTACTTGTTTAAGAAGCTGTTGAAATATCTTTCATTTTTCTTTGGAGACATTAACAACTTATTTTGTCACTTCACCACTGTTACATACGAGTCAGATACCATTCACACTGCATTAATTTAAGTAAATACCACTAGCGTTGCTCTTACTGGAACTATAGACTGAAAGAAAAATTACTTTCGGTTAAAAAAGTTCACTAGCATCTTTGCATTGGTCACTAAAGGATGGTAAAACAAAGCTTCAAGTTATGAAGTGTCAAATTATTTACTGTTAGTAATTTATTGTGAAATAAAAGTGCAAGAGACTCCTGCAAAATTAATTCTGGACATTGAAAATAGTATTGTTTGATTATCCCTTCCTAAAACCTACAACAAATATTTCATTCATATTTATTAACATTTAACAGTTGTTCTGCAGATTCTGGGTACATAGTGTTCCTGTCACATAGGTTTGCGTTTTTTTTTAGTTTTGAAGCAAGTCTTACAAATAACATTTCAGTGCTTTGATGAAATATAGCAAAAGTTTTCACAGTCTGTGAATTTCAGATCTGTTGCGTGACTGCGTTAAACTGTTTTCATCCAGAAATGGATTACAGAGCTGACAGATTACTTAAAATAAGCATTTTGAATGTGAATCATACTGACAAAAGTAAAGAAATCCCATTCACAAGAAAACATCTTGTCTCAGACAAACATTTTGATCAATGTGGGTGGTTATATATGACTATTTATGTACAGGCAAAGATCTTTTTTTTTAAGAGTAGAAACATGTAATTTCAATTTTCCTCATTAACAATGAGTTTACCAAAGATATGCATCATAGGTATTGTTACTACTCCTGTACCAGAGGTGTTGCTCTTAAACAGCTCTGTGTTCTAAGATGGGGTTTGGTATTTTCTGTTCAGAGGGCTGAGCTGATATGCCAGAGATGTACTCATTTACACAAATAGAGACAAAACTCAGTGTTTATGATTCTCCTACACGATTATTTTTCAAATAAACTATTTTACCTAATATTTAAAGGACAGCTGCAAAAATGAAAGAGCTGCAGTATACTGGAATGCCACTTCTATTGGTAACAAGTTATTGCTAATAGAATGTATTTTTTTTAGTTTTGAGGGTTTTTTATTGCTGTAGATGTTTATTAATACATTTATAGCAACAGCTATTCAAGATACAATGAAAACCTTGTGAAATTTGTATATTTGAAATGTAAACATGTTGTGAAACATTACCTCTGTGCTTTTTTTAGGACCTAGAAGAAACCACACCTCACAATGTGCAGTCTTAAATACTGCAGTCTCAGAGCAATTTTTCTGTTGATGCTGTGTAGGTAAGAAATATTTGGTAAAAAAATATTATTTCTTCAATGTATAATAGTATCAGTTGGTTTATAATCAATTTACTTAGAAATATATCTGACCAGGTAGCAAAGCCAAATCTGCTTGACAGTAAAATCTTGTCTCTTACAAAGATTAACTAACCTGGATATTAGTAACAGAAATACAGGACTGAACTCCTTCATGAATCAGCTGCCTTGATTTACAGATTTCTTACTGAGAAAACTAATGGGGGAAAAGAAATAAAGGTATTTAACTTAAGCAAACCAACCTTCAAATAGTGTGAATATCATATCAGATGCTTAGCCAATTTAGAAGGGCACATGGTCCTTGCCTAGAGTGTTGTACCTTGCCTAAGGACAGAAGCACACAGTCTACCTAGATGTATTGTAAGCTTGAGGCAGTTAAAGTCATCATTGTGCATTTGTTACTAAATGAGACTGTGTTAAAGAATTACCTGGTTAAAACATTGTCTTCCTATTCTCTGTTGATGAAATCATTCTTGATGAAATCAAGTCTTTAGGAAAGCAGAGTCGTGTTAAGCTGGAAGGTGAAACTGATCCCTTCTGTGTACAAGTAATCGTGCTAACAGTGTAGTTGCCATGACAAAAAAAACTTAAGATAGAAATAGAGCACTTAAATAAATTCCTTCTATAAAAATGGGGAAAAAATCATTCTTTATAAGTAATGCTAATAAGAAAATGCAAGCATGGACAGGTTAAACATTGTCGCTACCACCTTTAACTGAAATATTTAAAGTCTGGTAGCCAATTCTCTGTGTAGAATTGCCTAACCTATTTGGTCTCCCAGTAAATTCCTCAAGATTCTGCCTGAGCTTAGTTCAAGTGGGTGTGCAAACACATTTAGATAAAGCCTCCACTTGGTTGTGAGGGCAGGTGGAACAGTCCCCTGAAAGGGAGTTTAAAACATCTGTCTTCCCCACCTTCTCCAGTGCCATGAAGAGATCTTTGTCCAGAAAACACACTTACTCTAATCCCACCTTCCTTGTCAGCTGTGACTTGCCACACTCTATAATCACTGGATGACTCACGGCTTTGCAGTAATAAAACACTGCGAAGAGACTAAGAAAATTTCAGAAGTATGCAAGTCACAAGGAGGCAAAATACCTGAAGATGTTCAGCCTGTGGTGTGTAATTGCCTTCATTATTATCAGGTAGACCTTATGAATCTTCTCATACAGCTTCACATGGCTAAGAGTATCCAGAAGCACAGACAGTTAATTCCTGTATAGTATCCAAGGGAGTTATGTGCTTGCACAGCACCTCTTTAGCTTGGGCACAGGTGCATAGCATTGAGCTCATCTGGTCATGTTGTACCCAAATACAAACACAGGCAGAGAAGCAGCTCTGACCCTTGGTTAGCTCACAGCCAAGATGATGCTTAGGTACACAAATGCCTTTTTGCCAGTGCACAAATCAGGGAGATTTGGTGAAAGTGCTGGTTAAAACAAAAGCTATCCTGCTTGGCACTGAAATGGAAATATTTCTGGGCAGTATCCAAGGACTGAAGTGTACTGAAGCAAGGGTCATGATTGCTGCTTAAGTGGCTCCTTAGATATCTCACTTGTATAAGCTCTGGCCAGTGTGTGAAGTGTTTCCTCTACTGAGTACTTTATAATCAGTTATGGTGTGTGTCGATTTTTTTTAAAAAAAGTTTAGGGACAGCCAGAGCTTCATCTTCCCTATCATATACAGGGAACACAATCTGTCACAATACATATGCTAACAGTGTCACACCAGGCTATCAAACTCCACCTCAATTGCTAGTTCTCCCTTCCTGAATGACATTTAACTTCACTTTCAGCACTTAACATTAAATTACATTAAAAATCACATCACAGACATATATGCATACTAAAATCCAGGGAGTTGCCTGGATGGCCACTTTCCCAGAAATACTTTTATTAAGAAGTAGAAGTGAAAAAATTAAGGCAAATTTATCTGCGTAATCAATAGAATTTGCACTTCAAATCATTATCAGAAATCAGATGAAGTAAATATAGTCTATTTGATCTCAAGAAGGGCTCCCAATTTATTTTGGGAAGGGTGTTTTCAAATTAAAGAATTAATGCCTGGGTTTATAGGGTCAGATCCAGAAAATTCTGTGGGACATTTTTTTTTTTTTTTAAACTGAGTTTAAGAGTACTTCTGTTATTTAAGTACTTGGTCCTGTATCTGATAAGTGGTAACATAATACTAATGTTTCAACCTCACCAATTAACCAGAAACCTGTGACAGTACTGGCTGTTTTGAAGCAGAGAATTAATCAGCTATGTAGGCGATTCTGCTGCAATTTATCTACAAAGACCTTACAAAAGCCTCTATCCTTGAGCACATCAGATATGAAACAAGAAGTAACACCTTTGTTTGCATCTGTAAATTTTTCGCCTGTCAGTGGATTGCTTGAAAAAAATCTTTTTTTTTCCCCTAGCTTTTCCTGAGGGGGGTATTTCAAAAGCTTGCTCAGACTGCGTTTGGCATTTTGTTTCTCTCTTCTCTCAGTTCTAAGGTGTTTCTGCCTCTTTCATGATACATAACTTCTGAAAAAAAATAGCCAGAAAAAAATACTCCTGTACATGTGTCTAGATGATAGTTTTAAGTGATGATATATACTATTGTTTAGGGCAGATGTTCCCTTTTCCCCTTCCAGTTTCCCAGTTCTGTTAAGACACTAGTATCTTTAAATAAGAAGCAGTTGGTGTACCTTCCAAGTTTAGCCTAGCCTGTAAAAATACTAAGTTTTGAGCCATAAGAATAACTAAGGAAATTAAATAATTGCAATTCACCTTTTGTAAAAGCAAGCATGGGTTGTTGAACCAGAAGAGTTCACACGTATTATATATTGACAGCCCAGAACAGATAGATATTCCTGGTTGTCAAATAAATATATATTAAGTTTTCTTCTGTAAAAGCCTACTCTCTACTCAGTGGCTGGAACAGCTGTTTTGAGGCATTTCCATACTTCAATGCATGCCAAAGTGTTTAAAATACAGTCAGAAAATGGAGAAACTAAAACATATGTAGAGTTAGTTAAACACCACAAATACTGGGTAAAAGAGAAGCTTAGATGATGTACATGGATAAGAGGAATGAGTCTCAGGTTTTATTTTTATCCTTTGTGATCCCTACTGCATGACAGAATACAGGAATAAAGGCAGCTGTGAGCTCACTCTCGCTTAGTGACGAATGGGGCACATAAATTGAAGAACACTTTAAAGGAAACCGGACATCCTCCCTTAAGATGCAGATAAGCAAAGCCACATAACATCTGTAAGTTCCTTGCCTTTCCACACTGACAACCTGTTTCTGAGTATCCCCACAGTTTCCAGGATGGTAACACCACACACATTTAGAAGGCATCGCATTCCTCTGATACATTAGCTTACTATGGTAGGGCTTCTCAAAGATTGTATGTCAAAATAGCACACGAGGGATAGTGCCCTATTAACTCACAGCCTCAGTTACCGCACAACAGCTTTCCCATGCCAACAAGTTCTTAACTATAAAAATCAAAGACCAAAAATATGAGGCTACTCATCATTTATTAATGAGAGAAATCAGGCATTACCACAGAAGGTACCACAGTTGATTTAAGGAAAGGACTTCCATACATGCCAAATATTTAAGATGTATTTCAGAAAATAGTAAAATCAAAATTAAAGGGACAAGCTTTGGAAAGCTACAGGAGGCCCAGAAATACCATAAGGAAGAGCAGGCAGAGTTTGCAGGAGCAGCTATAGGGAAACTGGGAAGAAGAAAGTCAGCGACGATTTAACAGGACTAGGAAAGACCTGATGCCCCCTTGGCCATCGATTTATACTTCCATCCTTCACCTCAAGGCTGAGCTGCTACAGTTCTTGTACCTGCTGTAGGAGTGCTAAAGGATAGTGTTGGTCACTCTTAGTAACCAGTCACTTTTGGTGTGGGGGGATAAAAACCAAAAAGACCCTCTCCTGGGGAATATATAGGTGACTGCTCTCCATAAGCAGAGACAACGCCTCTGCCTTCGGCCTGATGAGCTTCCTTGAGTCAATCAATAATTTGCTTCTCACCTTCATAATTAAAGAAAAATCATACCCCAACTTTTCTGAAATCATTGGCAGAAACTTGGCTATTGATGTTCATGTGTCCTTCATGAAATAAGCTGTGATACCTTACTTATTTCAAAGCTTAAATTAGTTTTCTCTAATTTCATAAATAATAACTATATAAAAAATGTTTGATTTAATATAAGAAAGGTTTATATATCAAGTAGCACTTGTGTTTTAATTCACAAAGAGCACAGCCTGAATCTATATGGGTAAGTGTACCCTACTCGCACTCTTGGGGTGCTCACTTTAGGTGTTAGGCAGAAATGATGAGCAAAGCTATTTACAGTGTAACAGCCCTTAATGGCCCCAGGTCTCCCTCCCACAGCTGCTGATCATCAAGACCCATAAAAGGAGAAGGGGGGAAATATATAAAAATGAATCCTGGGATGGTCTGCATAATGAATGGCAGTTTACTGTATGCATTTTCACTAGTACTTTTACTCATCCTTCCAATAAGATTATTGCAGGGGCCCCAGGGCAAAAATGGAGCCTAGAATTACTTACTTATATTTGACTTTTTTTGAATCATATTTGTAGCTCTTTTAAAACGTTCTCACTTTTTTACATTTCTTTTAGGTCAATACAAATTCCTGAAGCTGAAGGAAAAGGTGAAATTCTGCCTCCAACTATACAAAAAATAATAAAAGGATACAACAAATATCTACGTCCGTTTTTTGATAGTAAGTAGAAAAGCTGTTTTAATAAGATTGAGCTGTAACATAATGCAGAGTTTGAAACTGAGCAATGAGAGCAAACATTTTTTCACTGTACTTTTTTTCTCCAGTGTTTGACAGTGATATGGTTATACACGATGCCCTGTGTTATAACAAGATACAGCTTTTGTGGCCCAAGGTGAAACTTACATATTCCAGACATTCAGAAGCAAAACTTGTAGACTCTGTTAGAAACTTGGCTATTGATGTTCATGTGTCCTTGGTGAAATAAGCTGTGATATCTTACCTATTTAAAAGCATAGTTTTCTCTAATTTCCTAAATACTTATATAAAAAATGTTTGATTAAAGATAAGAAAGGTTTATATGTCAAACTGTTGATAAAAGCACAGGCAAATGTTGTTTCTATAGCAAGTATTTTGTGCATGTGCTATAAGTTTGCAAGAGAATTACTTAATAAATGCTTCTTGTCTCAGGTCTTAAAGGTCACTAAACTGATTCACTGCAGAACTGTGAGGGAAAATTAATCTAGAATGTGAGTTCTCTGTGTCAGAAAGCCACAGTCACTAGGTTGGAAGACCCGCATAGCCTACTGCACCAAGGCTGATTTTACTGCCCTGTAGTGCAGTCAACGTTAGGCACCTGAAAACTCAGTGACAAACATCATCCTTGCTTGAATCAGGCTATTGCATGTATCAGAAATACTGTAGAGGTATGAGGCAGGGTGAAGATCTCTGCTCGGAGTAACTGCAGAACTCTGAAAAAAAATATTCTGCATGTTGAAAAGATGCTCAGCACCACCTGCCTGTCAGAAAATAAGCTTACAGAGTAAATGCTAGGCAGTAGTTCTTAAGTTAGATATTCAGAAATGTTAGAGGTTTCAAATGAAGGCTTTATATCCCTTTATATCCTGCTTAAAAATGATTGACTAAAGAGTCTCTCAGACCACGCTGTTACCTCTTGCCATCCCAATACCTGGTGGAGACTCCCAGCCTGTTCAGTAAGGGCATTCCACATCATGTGCAATTTCTGAATCCATTTCATAAAAATATTAAGACAAATATGTATTTTAGGTTTAGGAGAAAGGGAAAACTCTTTCATCTGTTTGTTTTTATTGTAATTGTCTTAGCTGCTGATACAACTGCTATAAAGTATTTACATAGTTTAAGAAGATTTTCAGTGAAATAAAAATAATGCTAATAAATAAACTAACTCCTTCTCATTGGAGATGATCCATAATGGAAAATAACTATATGTTCAGTGACCATTAATATATTTCATTCATTATTTCATGCTAGTACTGGAGATGCATTGGCACTGCCATGATTGATGTGCTTTGGTAAGCAGCAAACAGAATTTAATTGCAAAATCCTGTGATAGTAGTTAAGACCAACAGTAAAGCACTTCTAAGTTATGAATCTCCCATTTCTAATGTGAGCCAGTCTTTCTTCCCAGCTGTTGTAATGTAGCAAAGCTGTAGCTCTTTTTCTGCCTGGGAATTTTGTTCAGAGGGGTGCTAAGGACTTTCTGTGTTTGCTTGGAAATCCCAGAGGATCTCAAGCACAGATCAAGTCTATGTCATAAGTAGAACCAGTCCAGCACTTACAGTCAGTGCCAGCATCACTGGATATGCTTGCCACAGCTCAGGCCCTGCAAACATTGTGTCTCAGAAACCTTTGATGGATTTCTATTAGCCCTACTACTGAAGGAATGGGATGACACTCTGAAAAATAAATTTTATTGATAGCATTTCTAAATGCAGAGTTGGTGGTTTTGAAAGAAATTACTTTTTTTGTGGGAATAATTCAGGTTACGCTGACCCAGAAAACATTCATTTTGATTTTTGGACTTGTAGCTTTTTGCAAAATCATTTGGGATCATTTTCCATGTAACAGAGGCATGTATGCTTGGGGTGGGGTGCAGCATCTGCCCAGCCCTGACCCCTCTCTATTACTGGCAAGGTGGGCTGCAGCTCAGATGAAATTCAGGTCCAGGAGAAGCCATTGCTCTTAGAAGCAGAGCTAGTAAATTGCCTAAATCCTCAGCTTAACAAATCAGTGAATTATACTGATCCGTGTGACCACAGCTATCCTAGCTTTGTTCCATGTAATATTTTCCTTATTTCTATGGATATTATCTGCCTGCAGCTTTTGTACCTTGTATCTATTCTTTGTGAGAAAGATTTCAGTATAATTGGCTTTAATCAGAGGTATATCAATGGCTACAGCACACCTGTTAAATAGTTAATGAAGACAGAGTCTCAGCTTAATCATTTATACCTCTTTTACTTTTGTGGCTTTTAACCCTCCTTGTCTTCTGAAGTCTTTAATTTCTTTGGTATGATGTTTGTGTGTTAATAGGAAGGGACTGAACAATCAAAAATGTTTTTTTAAGATCAAAGTGCTGGTTAGACTTGAGAAGGTTAATGAACAAATGCATGAGAAAAACCCTAAACTGAGGTATTTTGATACTGGTGGAGATTATCAGCTACTGTAAAAGCCTGCACAGTTCTAATGATGTCAACCTATCATTGCTGATTTACCCTGAGAAGGAAACTTGAGCTTCTAGAAACATGAGCAGAAAAGGATGTATATGCATATTAACCCCAAGTTCTTGTTTGCTGTCTGACGAGTATGGAAGGATTTGCATAAAATGGGAACCTAGCATGTGTATGTTGATGCAAGAAATATCCAAAAATAATATCCTGAAGTCAGCCTCTTTAAGACACTTGGCTTCCTCTTTTTTTTGGCTAAGATCCCTTTGCTTTCGAAAGTATGTGTTTATTTTTGTGGTCAGTTAGACATGCACTCATAAATATGCATGAAGAAATTTATCATAAAACTAGATGGTATTATCTATTGGCATCTACAGTGCTTTGAGCTAGTCATAATGGAACACTGAAATGTGATTTTTATCAAGTGTGAGAGGGCTAGAGGTTAGCTTGAATTTTAGAGTAACGTAATTCAAAGTCATTTGTCCTTGAAATTTTTCTTCAGGCAGGAAATGGGGATTTTTGAAGTGATGCTTGCTGCCAAGATACAATCATACTCTTACAGAATCAGTGACACTGAACTCCTTAATATTTAGCAGAATGGTTTTCTTGTCCCTAAAAGAAAGCATTAGATATAAACAAATGATCGTAAAATGAACATTCCTTTTTCCTAAAGCCAGGAGAAACAGAAATATTTACTAGTTAAGGAAATTTTATGGCATCTTATGAGTTCTTAGTTTAAGACGACCTCCATTTGCCTATTTGTTTATGTTTGGTCCTTGTACTGGGACTGGCAGGCTACTGGAAATACCTAAAGCAGATACAATTTAGCTAGTGTCATTAACAAGGTATTTTTCTATTGAATTCAATGACTGTGCATAACAACATAAAAACTGTCTTCTCCTTGCATGTATTGGAACTAATAGATTTCTAGTTTTTAAGACTGGATTAATCTCACCTTACTTTAGTGATCTCCCTCTCCACAGGTCACCCCTCTAGCTACTGAAATGCTATTTATGCCCAATACAGACTGTCATTCCCATCTCTAGGCACCTAAATTAGGTGCCCAAAGTTAATTAATTGAAACCAGTCTCAGTATGTCAAAGGTTTGCAGACAATTAAAATTGACTGAATGTTTTACATTTGTCCATGGTGGGTGACACATATCAATTACCAAATTATGGGGGTACTTTTATACAGTGTTTAGTACAGAGCACTCCCAGCTGGACTGGTTACTTGGCTCTGTCCTCATCTGAATGTTAGCATTAAGAATGTTCTCTTTCCTTAACTAAAGCGTTTTAATGACCCTCTTTGAGCTGCTTCATCAAGAAAGTCTTAATAAACTGAGCAGATAGACCTGGGAAATTCCATTAGTGAATTAAAAAATTAATAATCTAGAATGATTTTTATCCAGTCTTTGGACTGGAATATGAAATAGTTCTCTACTACTGTTAGTAGATAATACCCCTTAATGTAATAATATCCATCCTAGATGTTTAGATAGATGTGAAAGTCTTCTATAGAAAAGCTGACATAAGGGATTTAAAAATGCACAGTTATTTCCCTTAAATGTGCTACATAACCCTGACACTTTATCTCAGCAATACAAGCTGATTTCAACATCAGGTTTTCTGCTGAAACTGTGTAGACTGGTTTTATAACTTTAGGTGCTGTGCCAAACCTCTCTGAATTAATGAGCAATTCCTGCTGACTTCAGTGAGCCTTGGATCAGGTTCATAGGGTTGTTAAAGGATGCATAAAATCTTGTAAATAATTTTATACAAATAGATTTTGTTCTGTGATTGAATGTGTTAAGTGTTCTAATTAAAAAGAGAGACTAGGAAAAGGTCACAGCTGAGTATATTTGAATATGGAAGCTGTTTTCAAGTGGTGTAGAAAAGTGTCATGCTTAAATCAGTTATTATAAATCACATTTACAAGATTATTTTCCTTAGATTTGTAATAAATAATATATTTCATAGTCTTAAGGTTTAAATTCAAGAAAGAAAATTAAATCTTCAAGTCCAACCTTCTGTGTAAGATCAGTCATCCTTTTTAATTTTTTTTTCCCATCAAATGTTGTTCTATGAGTTTAGGCATTTTAGTCCTCAGAAGTTTACAGTTTACCCCCCAAAGACACCAGGAGGTATCAGAATGTTAGTTGTGTCTAAGACCCTTTGATTCAGAGACACAAGCTCACAGGGCACAGGAGAAAGAAATACTGAATAATCATCATCTAAAGTCAATTTTATGTACCAGTTAGCCAATGTCTAATCCTTCAGAGAAAGGCAAAAAGCCCAGAATATGCATGGCCAGTTGTATATTGGAAAAAAAAAAAAAAAAGTAAATGACTTGGTGCAAAACTGTGAACTTCAGTTTACAGATGGTAGTGTAGATTTTCCTTCCTTTCCTCTGGAAATAAGAGACACTATGAAACTATCATTGCCACCAAACCCAGCTTCCTCCGTGCAGGGCAGTTTGTTTTGGTTTTTTGTTTTGTTTTAGTCGTCTGTGTCCTTCCCGTGTGTTGTCATCCCATCCTGCCCCTAAATGATGATTTCTAGAGACTCTAAATGATGAACAGTGATTAAGTTCAGTTAGGGAAAAAAAATGTATTAGAAGTTTTATGTTGTCTCTAGCTTCCATCTTGCTTTTCTTTGTCAGAAAATTTGTACAAACTATACTGGATACCTTTTCTGTACACTTACGGACATTGGGCAAGTCACCTCTCCATCTTCTCTTTGAGGAGCTGAGTGAATGCTGTTAATTTACATGTTACAAGCTTTGATATTAAGTTTCCAGAATTTTTTGTCTTCTTGAATATTTCTCTCTCTCAGTTGAACTCTGTCTGCTGTCTGCGTGTTTTTTTTTCAAATGTGGAAAGCAAATCTTGTCACAGTAATCTCATAACAGTCTTGCCAATACAGTCTAGATTGCAAGATAACTTAATTCTGTGTATTGCTGCCCATTGCAATAGTGCTTCTGCCAAAGCATAATGTGGAAGGATCATGCTGAAATGATTATCTGTGACAACCTCTAAATCCTTCTCAAAGGCACTGCTTGCCAAGACAGTTTCCTATTCTGTACATACTGCCTGCATTATTTGTCCCCACATTAATTGCCTGCATTTGGCTGTATTAAAATATATTTTTCTGACAAATGATTTAACAAGCTGTTATAATTATGTTCCCCACCAATTTTTGTCTTGTCCACAAACTGTATTAGTGAAGCTACATCACTGTCTAAAGATCACTGATGTGAACAAATAGGATTTGAAGCCTATTCCTGCTAGAAATGGGTCTGTCTGCTCATGTCTTTGTATCAACAGTTACAGCTGAGATCTGTCAGAAGGCCTGTTGTAATCTGTCCTGTCTCTTCATGTAATGTATATTTGTCAAGAATGATGTCTTGTGGTGGGAAGTTAAATACACTGAAAAAATCCAAGCATAATGTATCACTTGATCTAAAAGTCCCATAATACTCTAAAACAAAGCAAAGCTGTTAATCAGGCAGACAAACCCCAGTTTTTCATGAAACTATAAAATTATTGTAGTGATCCTTTTCTTTCTAATTCTCTGTTGGAGTTGCATAGTATTTTATCCAGTATTGCTGCAAGGGTGAGGTGTTCTTTCAAAAAGCCATTCCTTTTGAGACATTTCTGAATGTCAGAATTGTTTGACGCTTTCTTAAACTAAATGAAGAAGAGCTAGTACTAACAGCTCAGCACTGGCAGCTCATGGTAGTACAGACTGCTTTAAGTAGTAGATCTTCGGAGTTACAAATACATACGTGACACAGTGGTGGTTTACTTTCAGTACAAAGTTTAACAGACTGTGATCATTGCAGTGATCCAAACTTAATTTTTAAGTATGCTATCTGCCACTCTTCTGTAAAAGTGAAAGTCTTTGTACATACATTTTAGTAAAAGTTAAAAAGTATGTTAATTAGATTGTGCACCCGTTGCTGTAATGGGTGTGTGTAATGGCGCTACGTGCTGTAACGCCTTTTGGCATTTCTTTGCCATGTTTTGAAGGTTCCTTTCACTAATGCAGGACAGACTGACTTTAGCTTTCTTCTGAAGATCAGTAGATTTCTTCTGAAGTTGTCATTATACATACAATTCCTGCCAAACATATGGAAGAGTAGGAACTGACTGCCTCATCTGGTCTACTGCACTCTTTTTGACACTGTCAACAAGAGACCTTCCAGAGGAAGTTCAGGGGAAACCCTGGTGGATAATTTTGGGAAGACTCATTCGCTTATTAATACTGTTCGTATTTAGTAAGGCACCACAAACAGTATTTAACCTCATACACAAAAAATAAATTAGCACTTGAACTATTAATACTGTTCAGGTTTAATTAACTGTTAAAGCAAAGCTATTCCCAGCAGCTTATATTGTGTTAATAAAGACCCTTTCTGTAACTGGTGTTTTTGGGGGTTGTTTTTTTTTGTTGTTGTTGTTATTGGTTCTGATTTTTTTTTTTCCCCTGCATAACTCCTCCCTGGCATGTTGCTGTATATGAGGGGATGTGATTTCTGCTGAGTTTCCCCAGGTGCTTGGCTCAACAGGCTGGCTGCACAGCACAAGCACTCCAGTTATGAAGACTGTCAGGGTTAGCAGAGGAGCCTGGTTTTGTCCTGACTATGCTACCACTCCTTAGCATTTGATCCTCAAGGCAGGTCTGTGCTAGGACAATCCTTTTGAGCTTGAAGTAACTAAGCTAAATGTCTTTTGGTGGTTGGGAGTCACCCAAAACTACAATTCTCTTGTGTTGCTCAATAATATTTTGAAAAATACCACAACAGGAAAGAAAGAAGGAACAGATATACAAAGTCCCATTTCTGTGGTTCCAGAAAAATTAAACCTAATTTTATTTCAGTAATCATTTTGGAAAGTCAGCTTTTCCTCTCAGATATGTAACAAAAGCACTGATGGTACTGAAGTGCTGCTAATGAACATTTTCCCTAATTTTTATCACCTTAAGTAGGCAAAGATAAAGTGTTATTCCTACTAATAACATCTGATATAATAGGAGAGAGTCTGATTATTCCCAGCCACAAATCCCATATAGCCAGCTGAACACTGCATTGTCATCTCCTTAGGATGATCCATTGTTAAACATAAGCCTTGCATGATGAGCTTCCCCACAGATTCCTGTGTGACCGCTGGCAATAATATACTCAGTTAGTCATACATGGGAATTGGAAGGCAGACTTAAAAAAAATCATAAAATGGATTATAAAACACACATTTTTAAGTTCACTGATTTTTGAGGGTCTGATATATCTTTTGAGACAGGCAGTAAGCATAAGTATCAATTGACTCTTTTGCTATTGCACCCTAGAAAGTTGGGCTGAGTTCCTAGAGGGTTAAAACATAAATGTATTCTTGGAGTATATGATATATGTTATATATAATAAACGCGTAGATTGCCATCAGGGGATGCTGCAAGCCTACAGTCCTGCTTTAAGCTGGAGCTTTATATTTGAACGTTCAACTGAGTCCAGAACAAAGCATTTACAGATTGTATCTGGAGTGCCAGAAGCTTAACAACCTGAACATGTGTTACAAATGTAAATTATTTGGAGAAAAAAAAACCCAAACAAACCACAACTAATGCACTTATACCATTCAGGATGACACATTTTTGTCTTTATTGTTACTCAGTGGGGTAGAGTTGGATCCCACCTTCCTCTAGATGCCATTTGGGGCATGTAAGAGCTATGTACATAATGCATTGCAAGGAGCCAAGATGGGGTTTCAGCAGTGTGCCTGCGATATACTGGCACCATCAGCTACATAGATCTTACCTAAAGTATTTCTGCATTTCTCAGTACTGCATTCTCTTCTTCTCAATTACTTGGAAAGATGCACGTATTAAATATGAATTTCCTTGTACATGTACTCTGTTAATTATTCTGCACATATTCAAGCAGGAATAATGTCATGTTTCCATGAAAGCGCTGCACAAACTCTGCATTTAAAAAGCACAGCTGGTGATCTTCTGATACTGAAATGCACACTCACAAGGAAACAAGAATCTGAGCACACTAACATTACAATGACAACTACTTAGGTAAGGTATTTAATCATATGGAATAAACCTTCAGTTGATATTAACATTAAAAGGAGAATAAAATGATGAGTTTTCCTTTATATATGCGAGTATTTAAATCACAAGTTAACTGCTAATGTTCAAAAGCAAGACATAAAAATGCAGTGACACAATATGGACAGTATATTCTTAAATAAGCAATAAATAAAGTCACTCAGCTATCTCACTGGGATATTAACCATGTGACATTGCCAGGTGCAACTTCTTAGTTCACTAACATCTGATGGACCAGATGTTGCAACTGGAAGGATTCTTTCCACTGCTGTGCACCTCAGAGCAGAAGGGTGTGATGTACCATGGGGATTGTACCTTCCACACCTTGTTGTGGAACATTTTCCCCTGCACTTTTTTCCTGGAAAAAAACCAAACCAACCCAAACCAGGAAATCTTTAGGAAATAAAGCTTGTCCATTAAAACCAAGATACTTTTAGTCTAGAAGTATTATATTTTGGCTATGAAATTGTTAAAATTATTTTATAAGATAAGTTTGAGGAATATTTCCTTTTAAAAAAGCAACAAAACATTTAGAAAAAAAATGGATCATATTGTAGAAGATTAAAACTGTAGCCAGTTTTCCTGAACACTGAGTAATAAAGAACCATGTGCTAGATTCTGACTTTCTCTTTTTTGCAGATGGTCCTGTGTCAGTTGGAATGAGTCTGGATATTGCAAGCATTGATACGATATCAGAAATAAATATGGTATTGTAGCTTTTGCAATCCTTTTTGTTTTGCTTGTTGATAAGCTAATGCCCTATGTTTACAGCTGCTGGCAATGTGACTCTGAGGCTTTTCTCCTTGTGCAGTCAGTGTGTATTAGGAGGTAGAATTTTATTTTTCACTACAATAGTGGTTATAGCACTATAGTAAGTATAGAAATGCAGATGTAAATCACACCTCTCACAGATACCACCAGAAATTTGCTATTAATCTTAATGATATGCATGTAGAGTAGTATTTATTTTCCAGATGAAATGTCTAAATCTTTATGCATTTCAGATAATTAAAGATATAATCATGTGATTTTGAAGCCACTTCCTTTCCTTGTGGTTAGATACAGCTGAATTCATATTGGTTTTCTCTGTTGCACATTAATTTATTCCAGCTGTTTCATTACGTTTGTATCATTTATTTTTGAACAAACTATGAAATGGAGTATACTTTTCTACTTAAAGATCCTCCACTGATACATAGAAATGAAAGGCAAAATTAATTATTCAGGTATTCAATATTAGAATAAATTTTTGTGTGCATGTGTATATATATATAAAAGTCTGTACACATATAAATTAATATATCTAAAAAATTAAAAGTATATATTTGAAAATATCTCACCATTTCATTACTCAGACTTCCATAGAAGTTGAACATTAGAATCCCTCTGTACTTAGTATTTAGAAAGGGGGAAGCAAGGTCAGAACTTCAGATGAACTTATACTGATAAAAACACACCATAAAATCAAAAGTTGGTTGAAAAGGTGCTAAGAAATAGTGTGATTTTAATGTATGACTACAAGGCATATCTGAATTGAAGGCGAATTGGGCTGAGAGCTATATTCATCTTGATAAATTTGGCACCACTGTTTCTCTTGTGATGCTGAAAGAATAAATTGTGCTAAAAGATTGTGATTCCCTTCCTATTTCTCTAGCATCTTTTGTCCTTTTATCTATCTGAATTTATACTTTTTTCAAAGTTTTCTTAAAAAATGCATTATTTAATAGTTTATGGGGACAAACTCGTGTTTGTATAAATAATTCTAAAATTTAAAGATTTATAAAGCTAGATGATCTGCTTACAAAACTGATGATTTCAGCTGATTTATAGCTCTAGACTTTGCCATCAGCTTTTACTATAAAGTTCCAGTGACCATAAGAACAAAATCTACTCAAGATAATATTTCTTTATGATGTCAACCTTACATCAAGTGATGGAAAATTTGGCAGAACAAGAGCCAGTACTGCTATCAAGTGCCAGCATTTAAGAATGGGACATGGAGAGTCACAGTCTATTTGTGCCCAACAGATGTTTCCATATACTTTTGTAAAACAGAATATAATGCAGACTTGCTCTGTATGATAATTTTGGTTTTTCTCTTTCAGGACTACACAGCTACCATATTTTTAAGGCAGCGATGGACTGATGAGAGACTTTGTTTTGATGGTAATAAGAGTTTAAGCTTAGATGGTCGGCTTGTGGAAATGCTTTGGGTACCAGATACCTTCATAGTTGATTCAAAGAAGTCTTTTCTGCATGATGTCACTGTTGACAATCGTCTTATAAGAATATACCCTAATGGAACGGTCTTGTATGCTCTACGGTATGTATATACCACATACCAGCCTTTATATTTAGCTTCTATTTATATTATAAACTTTCCAGGTTTGTGTAATTTTATGCTAAAGAAATGGATCTATTTGTAAAAGTAGAATATGCATCATCTTGTGGTTTCACAAATATGTAATATTATTGACCAACATTATTAAATTCTTAAATTAATAATAGGTCTTCTTTCCTTCCCTAAACAGACCCTTTTGCTTTCATGTAGACCAAACACATGAATTGCATTTTGCCATTCCAGATGTTCTGCAGTGAAGTCATCACAGAGGAAAGCAAGCTGTGATGATTGACTTGCATTATTTATTGCAGATTATCCTTTATAATAGATTTTGATACATGTAATAAAATTGTAAAATATATTGTAAAATATCAACATAGGGAAAGGTATACTGTAACTGAAAAGGGAGCAAGAGGTGGCATTTTTAGATTGCCACTAAACTCAGCTATTCCGTAGTGGTTTCTTGGGGATGCTATTACTCTTCCCCCTTAGATACTAGTAAATACTAGATTTTTTCCTCACAGTAGATATTTGCCTGCAAATATTAGTTCAAGAAGGATACATGGCTTATTTTTATTTTTACTGATGCATGATTTTATCCCATTAATAATCAGCAATACTCTTTTTTTTTTTTTTTTTTTTTTTTTTTTTTTTTTTTTAAGAATCACCACAACTGTTGCTTGCAGCATGGATCTGACCAAATATCCAATGGATAAGCAGACATGTACTTTGCAACTGGAAAGCTGTAAGACGCCTACTACTTATTTTTATGCAATTAGAAAAATATCTGTTCTTTTTCAAGTGCTGCTAGATATTACTACCAAAGAGGCTGGAATTTTCAAAGAAGCTAAGGGACAGTATGTGACTAGTCTCTGTTGAATCACAGTAGTATCTGCATACAAAGATAAATGCACAATGCATCACTGAAAATAGCATAGCAATGCTGAAATGCTGCCATGCTATTAATGATTAAACAAAATCTCAGGAGATTATCATCAGCCTGATTTTGCCATGCACCCTGCAGTTATTCTGTTGGTCTTCAGGGGGAGTTCTATGAGCAGACATTTTCTAGCGCAGCCGAGAAAATACTTTTAAATTAGTTTTTCTCTTTCAGATAGTATGTATTTTTTTTTCCCCTTGAAGAATAATTCCTTTAGGAAAGAAAGACATTAAAATAAGGCTTATTTGTAACGCATGCTGTTCATAATTTACTGTCTTCATACTGAAAAAAAAGGCAGTTCTGTTCTGAGATAGATATATATAGATCTTTCTATGACTTATTTAATTGTCTCTATGCCAGTGCCCTGGGAAAAAAATGTCATAATTTGGTGGACCAGGACAAAATATACCTTTATAGGTTCTCATTTTGTCAATTGATGTCCTCATAATTTTCATTAAAATATGATCTCTAATACTTTGTAGACATGGTTGCTTTGCAAATACACAAATGTGCATGTTTATAGTTAACTTTTTGCTATTATTCATATGATAATGATATGATTCATTATTCAATTTTGACTCTATCAAGATATTTTTGCATGGGATAATGTAAAAGGGTACCTAGTCCTGTAAGGTGAAAATATATGTTGAAATATATATCAATACATATTCAAAATCTTTTGGAAGATTTTTCAGTACTTGTCAAGTTTATTCTTTACCATTTCAGACATGTATGTGTGTTCTTTATCTCCTGTTGGTAATGACCAGTTAGAAGACTGCTGCAAGTTTCATTTTAGACAGAACCACAAAGGAAATCAACCCCAAAAACATCCTTACACAGGAGTCCCTCTAGAATCAGCAGTTTTATAAGATCTGTTTAACAAATAGTGATTTCAAATAGAATTTGGATTTCTCTGATTTACTTTCATTTAGAAGAGCATATTGGTAAGCCAATGCATATGGTTTTTTACATCAGTAATATTGCCTAATGAGTCATTTATTATTTTCTCTAGTTCCAGAATGAAATATAAGTCCAAGTACTTAAATTTATTTGACAGTATTAAAAAAAGGAAAATTCCCTATATAATTAAAAATAAGCATTTTTAAGAATGATTCCATCTGCTTTTTCAACAACACACAAATGTCTGCTGTCCAAGGGGAAAACAGTAACGTCATCACAAATGCTCCCATGACATTGGAGTTTAGTTTTAAAGAAAACAGCTAAAAGAAAGAAGTGCAAAAGGAAAGAGTGTGCCTTTAGCTGTGGCCCTTTTTTTTTCAGTGCACTGTAATACTTTCTTTTGTGTATGCTGGAAAAGGTGTTTGCCCCTTCATGAGATAATCTATGACAATTTACAGATGAATAATGACACATCCTAAAATACTGCTTGCAAATGCCATTACCTGGAATTAAGAATTGTGAACGCAAGCATGCATATACATCCACACAAATACCAATGTGTATAAATAATATGCAAATATGTGATCTGAAACAAAGTGTTAGGCCTTTTATTAAGTGATTACTAATGTAATCAGTCAACATTATCAAGTAATGGCTTTACACAGTAAAGCAACACTAGCGGCCTTTACAACACGCTATTCTGCTATTAGTAGTTAAAATAACATTAATTGATTTATACATTCTACACAGCAAAACACATTTCAGCCTTGTTTGTTTCCCCTATTGTTGCAACACTTCAGAAGGTAGTGCAGGCATATGTTAGGAGACAGAGAATGGCCACTCTGAGTCTCTGTTGATATGGCAGATGTGGCATCTGGGGACTTGGAGGACTCTTTGGTGCTCCCAGGGGGGTTCATGCTCTCTGCCATGTGGTAGGGAACATCACTGTTCATTCACACTGACAGGGCTTTTTTGCTTCCCCTCAGGTCTCCAGTACAAGTATATATTCATGTTTTGAGCCCATCTCTGAAATTACATTTCCTTTTTAAACTTGTCCTTTAGCATTTACTCAGTGAAGACTCATGTGAAGGCACTTAACTTGTGCTTGACAATCAGGGGAAATTAAAATTAGCAACAGAAAGATAAAGAAACTAATTTGTATTAGGCATTCTAAATGTTTAATTCCAAATTTACTCTTCCTGTAGTTAACCCTGTTCACATTAGCTGCTTGTACTGTAACAATGAAGTACAGGAATGAGACATTTTGGGCTGAGGAATTACTTAGAATGAAACTCAGTGTAATAGAGATTACTTGTAAAAGCCAAACAACATGGTTTAAGGAGTTTGTCTCTATGAACTTTTAAAACATTTTATAATTAGCAAAATATTAATCCCCTGAATAAAGAATAACTGCACAGAGGGAGCACTGTGCTATTTAACTTTACTGACTATTGGGAAGACTCTCCCCATGAAAATTCTTCACAAATAGAGTTTTGGAATTAGTATTTTCATAGAATTTTCATAGAAGGATCACCAAAACCTACTAATTGTTCAGCTAATGAAAATACTTTGGAACAAAAATGGTTCTATTAAAGCAAAACAACCTCCATTTGGAGATATGCCTGTTATCACCCATCTAGGCATTGAGAATTTCTCCCATCTCATACAACTTGGAAGGCTCAATATCTTGTAAAAAATAAATAAGAATTTACTGTGGTGTTCTCTAGTTTTTTTGACTTTAAATATCTGCAGTTCATTTATACTGAAGGAAAGTAAAATGAATCCATGTCTGGAGTCATGCATAAAAACTACTTCTATGAACCGATTTGTTTTGACTGAGGGCAATGCCATCATTTGTTTATAGGAAATGTTATTTTTATTCTTCACCTCCCAGATCTGTGAAATTTCCCAGCATGTGGTTTTACAGAATCAAGAACTTAGCTTGTATGCATATATATGCTTTTGGCTTAGTCTTTTGACATAGCCGTGTTTTGGCTTTAAATGTTATAAACATGATAATGTAAGGAGAGATTCCAGGTCATGATAGCCTTTCAGAACATTGCCAATGATAGTGAAAACAAGATTTACATTTGAAGAATGGTCAGGGAGAGAATTTCCAGGCGAAATCGTCATTTTAATTGGTAACCAGCACAGTGTTTCCTTGAAATGAAATTTCTGAACTGTTGTTTTTCTTACATTAAATGACTGTAGGAAATCAGTTCTTTTTTATAATTGCAAGAACCAAGGTCATTAATTTAAAAATATTAAAATGCTCTTTTTTATTTTAATGCATCTTTTTCTGTGATTCTAGAGCTTTGTTCCTCTCATTGCAAGAATCAAGGTCATTAATTTAAAAATATTAAAATGCTCTTTTTTATTTTAATGCATGTCTTTTTCTGTGATTCTAGAGCTTTGTTCCTCTTGCAGCATTTATCCTTGTGCAATGTATTGCATTATTGTCTCACACTATAATTTACTTACAATTCACTGGAGTCTAAAAATAATCATCTGCTCATGTTTCTGTCCCCTAAGCTTAGCTATTAACTTGCACAATATAAGTCTGTCAAATAAAAGAATGATTGATCTATGTAAGCTAAAGGAAAAGATGTTAAAATGCTCCCTGTTAACATGTAAATTACATTAACATAATCTTGAATTAATCATATACGCTAGCCTGAAAATTGCCTGCCTTTTAATATAATGGGAAAAATCTACAGAGGTATTTTAGCTATGATTGAGCTGCATGTTGACAAGTGTGTGCAAAATACAGTTGCCTTCTGATAGATGATTCATGTCCCATCTCAGCTCCTAATTACTACTTGAAGGTTAAGAGGAAATCTCCTGGGGCCCCTGAAGCGTACCATGCTGTTGAGCCTGCAGAAACATCAGTATCTAAACTGGTGTCCTTGGGAAGCATCCAAACTCCTAAGCCCAAATGTCATCCCGAGTGATGACCCAAGCCCAACTCCGAGCACAGCGCCAGCACGCAGCAGCGCTGCTGTTCTCCTCACCCCTTTGTTTTGTCGGGAATGAGGACCAAAGGCACTGCGTCAAGAAACAGCAGCCTGGGATGCAACAAAGGGCACACAATGTTTAGTCCAAATGCTGGCAGTGCTGTCATTCATAAAAACTGTATTTCTTTAAAGCTTAATAGCTTTAGAATGCCATGTGGTACTAATCTCTTCTATTAGTTTATGTCATCTATAATAGAATACAAGATATAAATAAGACCACCTCCAAAAAAAGACAGCTTTTAAATTATGACTTTGCATGTTATTGGGAGTTCTGTTGCGAACAGGCATTACGTTCTGCCAAAAACTATCATTGTTTATGTCTTATTGTACTTTCAGACAGACAAATAAGAAACAGCTGAACCATAAGTATGCTCAACACAAATTAATTATTGTGTAAAACAAATGCTTTTGTTGGCTTGTGTATTACTACAGGGGGTTATAACATTAATGATGTAATGTTTTACTGGACTAGAGGAAATGATTCAGTTCGAGGTTTGGACACACTCCGACTGGCACAATACACAGTAGAAGACCACTTTACCTCAGTATCTGAAGCGAACTATGAGACAGGTAAAAATACCCTTGTAACACTTTCCAGGTACAGTTCAGAATATGGCTCTGGAAACAGAGCAGCATTAAGGAACTGAGCACATTGCTATATCTTAGGATGACAGTTTTCATTTTCTGCTAGATTACATTCTTGAAACTGTATATACTTTTCCAGATGTTACCAGCAGAGACCCAGCTAATGTAAAGGTTGAGAGATTTTTCAGCATTTTCTTCAAGGCTTTGCATTATCTAAAGAATGATAAACAAGGAATGTATTACTTCTTCCATTAATGTCAGGAAGAGCTCTTGTGAAGAAAGAAGAACCTGTAAATGGGGTGTTTAAATTGGAGAGAGACCAGGGACCCTGGGTATCCAGCTCAGACCAGTTCCCAGCTTTCTTGGAAATAGCCAGTCCGGCTCTATTAGGCAAGTCAAAAGCCTCTATTCAGCCATGGAAATGTCCGTGAATATGCTGGGTACTTTTACAAGTGCAAGAAGCTGGGTTTCATGACTAGTGCCTGTCAGAGTTGCTCTTTATCTGCAGCAGCCTCTGTCCAGCCTGGTGGGCAGCAGAGCACAGATTGCCTGGCCTCAGGTTCCTCTGCCTGGGGAAGGGTCAGGGGCATTTCCACAGACCTGCTCTTCTGATGATTTTAGGAAACTGCTGTAGAAAGTTTCCTCTAACTGCAGGACTTAACCTCAGGAAAGTGTCTGCTTCTGTTTATTTTCCAGAGATTTCAAAAGGGCTTTTAGAGAGTTCAAGACCTGCCAAACCTGCTTTACACTTAGGCCCTTCATTGCTGCTCTTCACTGCATACTCAGTTTCTCTTCTGCTCAAGTCAACATGCCAGCCAGAAGGGTGATCTTTAAATGAAGACACACACATCCTTCAAGGCTGTAGTGTCACCAGAGGATATATTACCAATTCTGAATCACAGAAATATAGTTTCTCTATTCCATTGTTGCATATTTCTGCTTTAATAATTCAACACAGATAAATTTTATGCTCTATTTTCAGGTATTAATTCAGGGTAAAAGTCAAAGTTCTCTAAATGGATTTAAAACTAAAAATGAAATACATACTAGCAGGATCACAAAGTATCTTCTTCCTTATGTAAGTGACATCTGTTTGCCTTCCTCCTCTTTACAGATTCTGAGTAAGCAACGTCAGGTTCAACCAAAGAATAATCCTCTACTACTGTTGTTCTGACCAGGAGGGTATTAGGACCTGTTCACCATATAGGAAAGAGGAAGAGGAAATCTGCTTAATTCAATTAAAATTTCCCACAGCTGACTGTTCTGTTCAAGAAAGCTACAGCCTCTTAATCCTCTTAATTTTCTATTGAGTCATTATGAATTAGGTGCTGGTTTTTACAGGTTGCTTTTAAGAAAGCAGTGCCTACTGTAGCCCATATTAAAAGATAAAGGCAAACAGATTATGAAACTACGTAATCAATTTAGAAATGAAAAATGATTTTGAATTCCTTAACACCATTAACCCCATTAATAGATGTCTGAGAGTATTTTATAAATAACAGTTACATTATAAATAACAGTTATTCACAAGGCTAAAGCTAAAGATATGAGAGAAGAGCCATGTGTAGTATTTCCTAACACAGCGAAAAAAGCAATCAGGATTTGATACTCTCTGAACTTGAACAGACAGTACAGCTGTTGTGCAAGTGAAATACTGTACAACAATGCAAACCCCAAGTTTGTGTACAGCCACTGACAGAGCCAAATTTAAAATGTGGTCAGCAAAATTCCTGCCTAAGTAACTTCAGTAAATTTAAGAAAAGGACACTGTGGATGAAAAGGACATTGTGGATTAATCTTGTTTATGCATCACATGTATGTGATCACAATTATGTGATACATGATACAGCCTGTATCACATAATTGTGAGCACGTTATTGTAATCACATAATAATAAGTCATTTTGAATAATGTTAGCTAGACAGCTGCCGAAGGTTTGATGTTGATTTTGTTTTGGTACAGACCAATTTAATTTTGGACATAGGAAAATTAATTGCTAGAACCACTTCCTACATGTCTTTTAACTATAGTCTTTATTCTGCATACACTGATGCATTCTTGGAGCCCCAAACCATGTATGTGCAGCAGTGGCTGCTGGGTTTTTATTTTAGCTGTCTAACTAACACCACCTGTGTACTCAGAGTAATAAGTAGTGATATAAAAAGCTTGTCTTTCTTATTGGAGAAACATAAAAGTAATGCAGGACTAGCTTTTTTGTGTAAATAATCATAGAAATAAGGCTGAAATACACTTCAATAATTAAATTAATCTGTTCTCATGTTGCCAGGCAAAGTTATCTATATCTACAGCCTACTTCCTGACAGATGTTTCTAGGAGTAAGTTAGACAAGCCTCCAAAGTGTCTGCTTCACCCTCCCTAGATGATTTTTTTTGGTGCTGATTATTACATGCATATTTTTCTCATGTCTAATCTTGATCTCCCTTGCTGCATTTCAAACCTATTATGTGGATATAGAAGACAAATTTCCTGCTATTTTTCATCAGCCCTTTCACTATTTCAGGACAGTTGTATTTTTTCTCAGACCAACACCTTCTCTCTTTTTAATTCATACAAACAGCTTTCCTAGATCTCTTGTCTCTGCTATTGTTCTCCCATTTAATTTCTCATGTATTTGCTGATGTGCAGCACCCAACACTGGATACCCTGTTCCCATCAGATATCCCCCACAGAGGCAAAGGTTTACTTAATGCATTTCATGAACTCTGCTGCTGTTTATCCATTCCAGGTTGATACTTTCTTTTCTTGCAGAAAATTCTTGTGTATTTTTGACCTTGTTCAGCTTGTGATTCCTTCTAGTACTGCACCTCTTTTATTGCTCTGTAGCCATGTATTCCCTGTGCTCTGTTTAGGGAGATAGTAATTCCCATCTGAGTGTATGACTTTGTACTTAATTTTGTTGAATTGCATCTTGTTTTACTCAGCCTTATAGTTGTTGAGATAGTTTTGAACTCTAATCCTGTTCTTCGGTGTGCTAAAGCTCCTCTCTTAAAAGACACATGGTATGTCATAATGTTTGTTAAAGTATTGGGCACGGGACAGACCCCATATGTTCTCACTCAATATATGTTTCTGTTTTCACAGCAAGTGATAGCTAATTCATCTCAATTAGCAGTTTTAATTGGAGAAAGAAGCAAAATTGTCATTTCATTCTTGAGGCTAATTGGCTGTTGATAGCGTTTCTTCTGGTCGGCAATTTTCCTTAAGTCTTGCTCTCACTACTGCAACCCTCCTGCCAAGTTTTCAGCAGCAGCAGGAATGAATAGGCTCAGCCTGCTCAGGTCTAATCTAACGCTCAGTCTTCAGCCTGAGCCCAGGAGGCAGGGAGAGTTATATTAGGCAGTTAGGGCTCCATGCACTTCCCTGCTTAGGAAACTGTGAAGTCAGCAAAATGGCATATTCAAATGGTATTATTTTGGCAGAAGAGAGGGAAAGAAAAGACAAAAGCATAAAGTCAGTCTCCATTTCTTGATGCACGAAGACAAGACATTTGCCCTTCTTGAAAAAGACTGCAAAGAGAGCTGGCTGCTGTTCCTTGTCTGCAGTGACTGCCAAGGTTTTGATGTCTGTCACAAATTCTGCTTTAGCCTCCTTGGGCTGGAGGTCTCGTCAGACCTCGTTTGGCTATGCAGTGCTGAAACGTTGCTGACCCCTGGCCAGTCCACATTATTGGCTTCTCAGGTGGGAGGTCATGACTATGTCAGTAATGAGTTACTTTTATTTATAATTAGTGATCTGAAAATCAAAAAGTTTATAAAGGTTGTATAAGTCTGTATAAATATGACACTACTCCACAGACTGCATGTTCGTCAGTCAGTCTTTCTCTCAAAATAGAGGCATTACCTTGCTTGATACTAAAGGTCCATCTGCAGTTTCCCAAGGCTTGCAAGATTTCGTAATTAAGCAAACTTTTCTACAATTTTCAGTTATTCTTTTTTGAGTTACAGTGCACTGAGTGCACTTTTAAAAATTCCCTTTATCAGTTCTTTTACAATCTGTAATTGCTCTCCAGTTATTTCTGGGAACATCTTTTTTTGCCATGCAAGGTTTACAATCTCAGAACTGTATTCAGTATAATCTTTGGTGAATCTTTGGTTAGCCTCACCTAAGATTCAAGCAGTTACATATGCATATACATCTGTTACCATGTTATGTTCAATTTACCAATCTGAGCTCATATAATCACTCTTTGTAAGCCAGGTTTTTGTGATACTTCTGCAATGCAGAACAGTTTAGAAAGGAAATAGTTTTGGAAAATGCCCTGAAAAAGTTACAATAACATGAAAACATCTGGAAATTCAATGAATGGAATGAATATTGAGGATGTTAAGTAGAGGCTCTTTTTGTTAACTTCTGGGAAGTTCTTTGTAGTATGGACAGAAATACGCATGAATGCTTGGGAATTTTCTGTGGCATAATTTTCTTGTAAGTTTTTTTTTACAGGTAAGCTAAATGGATAAATATATCTGCACACAAACACTACATGAAGGGGTTTGTTTCATTCTTAGGAAATATGAATTTCAAACTCATTTTTTGTAAAGCATTATTGAGAAAATGAAGCACATGTTGAGAAACCTGGCTTGATCTTTCATTTCCTTTAGTTCACCTCTAAAGAAAAAGTAGAAAAAGAGGCAGTTTATAAGATCTTGACAGTGAAGAACAGAAGACTGATCGTTCTCTGAGTGACGGACAAAGGAACTGTAATAACATATTAACCATATGTATTTACACTCTTAGCATCCTACATCAAAGAATTGCATTTCAGTTGCACAACTTGTTTGTTGGGTAAAAGTGGGGACACTATACAGTCCTTAATGCATATGTTCATTGTAAACAAGCAATAAAATTTGCATACTGAAAACTACATTTTCAGCACTTAGTTAAGGCAGTAAAATTGTGTTTGAATTTTTCCTGTACTGTGCCATAAAAAGGTGCAATAAGAGAGGAAAATGGTACATTGCTAGAGT